TTCTCTGTTGTCTCAACTGAAATTCTTAGGAAAGGAAATTTTAAAATGGAACAGAAGAATTCAAATATACATATATATTTAACCAATAAAGGACATACATTATTTAAATATTTTCACAGCCATATTTTACAGAAGTATCTTGAATATTTGAGATACAATGTTGTTGTATGTTGTAATATTACATATAAACTTTTTCTTACATTTTACCCCATTTCCCACTGCTGTTTACTAAGCAATGCTTTATTTTCCCACTAATATATGATGTTATCTTCTCTGTACAATAAATGAATCTTTTTATTTCTTCTTTGACCAATCTATAAGTATTTTAAGTTAAATTCTTGTAATTTATGTGGATTTAATACACACTTTAATTCCTAGTAGAGAAATTCCATATTCATTATTTTTCCCTTTCAAATTTATCTCAGGAGAATACAAACCAAATATTTCTAGCTATCCAATATTTTCAACCCAGAAATTATGTATATAGGGGTTCAATTTATGAGCTATATGCATACATATACATAAAAACAAACAATTGAATATTGTCATACAGAAGATAAATATTTACTGTAAATTACTGGAAAATGTTCAAATGTATTTTATTATTTGAAATATTGCTATAGACCTACTGCATAACACAGGGAACTGTATTCAATTTCTTATAATAACATATAATGGAAGAACATCTGAAAAGAAAATGCACATGCATAACTGAATCACTTTGCTGTAGACCTGAAACTAACATTGTAAATTAACTACATGCCAATAAAAAATTTTCAAAACTTAAAACAATAGTATCGCTATAGTTCAGTCCCCAGACACAAAGAGTAGATGTATAGAATGGGGGCTTCAGGGAGGGCAGCTTAGGGATGAAATGTACAAGTGACTTAATTTTTTTTTGCCAGAAAGATGGTGGCCTATAAATGAGGAGGAAATCATGTAACCTAGGGGCATTAATGCTGTTTAATTATCAACATTTCTAAAAACATATTTTTGCACCATCCCAGTGTCCATAATGTAACATAGTTTTCCAACAAAGATATCTAAATACAGACTCCTATTTTTACTGGAATTTCCTTTTGCCAACCACTGCCCCTCTAAAGAACTGACATACCCTGCATACCCTCAACTTTGAGTTAGTCACTGAAAAAATTCCGTGCTGATCAGAAGTGAAATAACTGAAATATTTCAGCAATCTGAAAGGATATCTCTCAGCTTAATAGCAGTGCAAGAAATTCACAATAGAAGTCACTTGAATTTGATCATAAAACAATTTAAAATTAAGCAGCACCCAACAAGTTGACAAAAGGATTTGCTACAAGTAAAACAAAGTGGAGACAGTACCAAAATATAAGTTCATAGAAATCATTCAAATAACAACATGTTGAAGGCTATGAATAGAAAATTGATAAAAATTTTAAAATGTTAAAATGAGTGAGTAAAACTCTTGGTAATAAAAATATGAATTAAATACTGCTTTGTGTGTTATATTTAAGAGAGTTCAAAGACTGGCACTTTTTTGTACATTGATGATGTCAGGAAAAATAATAATACATAATTTTTTCTAGAAATTAATTTGACATGTTTTTAGGTGCCTTAGAAATGAA